AGGTTATTTTCTTGGATAGCATGTCTGAGAGATTTTTTATATGTACATTTAAACAACTGAACAAACAAATAAAAATAAACTGAATTCTTGTCGTTTAAACACTTTACACCTAAATGCACATTTTTCATTAGGATTCATACAAGAATTAGCAGTTAAAAAGAAAGAAAAAGGAATGGCCTAAAGTTAGCTTCTCAGAATAATTAATATTGCATTTAGATTTGGGAATCTTCTATAATCTTTAAATAAAAGATATCAAAACCTTTTTACTTGTTAAGTCTTTTCTTAAAAAATATGTTCAGTATTTTAAGGCATACAAATTTCAGTTCACTTTCATTTCACTATTTCAGTTTCAAATACTTAAATTCCTGTTCACGATAATAATAAAATTTTAAAAATAAATAAAAAAATCTGAAAACTTTCAGATTTTACCTTACGTCCAAAGAGACTTTTCTTAACCTTTTGAGTGTTACATTTATTTATTAAATATCATTTTATTTGTACTTCAACCATAAAATTCAATTCAACAGCAATATCGAAAAATAATTTTAAAATGGCAGTATCTTTAGAATTTCCGATGCACAGTCTCGCGCTGGAGATAATTCTTTTTTTTTCCCCGTGCAGTTTTGCCATTGCTCGCTTAGAAATCATTGAGTGTGTTAATCAAAAATTCGTTGAAGTGTTACAAAATATGAAATCGATAACTTCAAAAATTCCAAATTAGGGCTTCCAGATGCCCATATTCGGTGGAAGATTACGTTATTCAAAATTTGATCTTCTAGGAACCGCTGTTTTATCGCAGTGGAAGAAACATACAAACATATGCAGATTCTTCATGATTTAATTTCTTTAAACATAATACAGGGCAGTAATATTTTGAGGCAACAGTTTGAATATTTATATGTAATATTTGGTGGCAACAGTATTCAACGCAAAATGACAAAACGAAATTAATAGCCCTTCTGGGCTAACGCCCTTTAAGCAAATGATGCATAAATCAATTGTTTGAAATTAAAATAGCTTTGTGTTTGCAACAACTTTTAAAACTGGTAAATTATTTTATCAAGTCCAAGAATACTTATACAAATATTCAGCTTTGAAAACCAATCAATTTAATAACTTTCTTTTATTATATAGTTAATTTACACGGAAAAATTCCTAACTTTTCTGCTATTAGAAAGATTTAACTCTGTTACGAGCAGATTCTGTCTTTACATACCATGAAATTAATTAATTCACCGTGCAAATGAAGTGCAACAAATCCTTTGAAATGTTACGTACATTTACGTATCGTTTGTATATTGTATCAAACAATAGCTCAGAATATGAAAAAGAATGTCAAAGAGAAAACGATGCATTAAGTAAATACATTTTATATCCTAATGGTTGTGCCTCAGCATTTTGTTTCAGGAAGAAATTTCAGTTTCTAGAATTATTTATTTTGCAAAATTTTACAACTATAGAAGTTTATTTAGCTTATCCAGTAGCTTCTTGACTAAAATTTCTATTCTTCGAGATATAATATAGAAAACTTCGCAAAACTATTATGAGAACTTGAATATTTCTTGATCATGTACTTAGGCATTTACATTGAAACAATATGATGAAAGGCCATTACGCTGCGAGAAAAATTTCCTAAAATTATTGATTTGAATCAAAGTTAAAAAAATTTAAACTGGAATACATTTAATCAGAGATGAATCAATCAGATTATCTAAATCCTCTGAAAATAGGCAGTGTTTATATAAAGACAGAAGAAATATTAAAGGAATAATTTGCAATTCAGCATTCCAAAATAATTTTATCTACATAAATCAAAATCACTTTAAGATACCGAAAATTCACTGAACCATAGTAACAAAATAACAAAGAATTTTCTTTTAAATGCTATGCAAATTGTGTTAAATAATACACAGCACACAGGGAAAGAAGAAACAAATTACATCTTTTCTTAGTAAACAGATGAGTGACAATATGCATGAAGATATTTCGAAGCAAAAGTAAATATTTTATGACCAAGTGAATTAATACATATTAGAAAAAAAATAAATTTCAGATATAAAAGATATTATGTGATGTTTTTATTTATTTACTTATTTTTCTGAGGTTTGGTAAAATTCATGCGTTCTAGTTGAAGCGTTTTAATTCTAAATTAGGCTAATGCCTTTTTTTATAATTTATTTTATAAACAAATACTTTTCAGTCTCTTAAAGGATACTGTACGAAATGTATCCAAACAGAGTATGCACTCTGGTTGGATATGGATATGGATATATTACTATAATAATTATGGATAATTATGGATAATTACAATAATTACGGATATATTAGCATAATTATTATATGATTAATATTATTTGTATTAGAAAATATTAGCTTTAAAAGTATAAAAACAGTATGAAAAAGTAAATTTTATTCGCAAAATGCACTGCTTTTCTATAACACTTGATTATTATTATTTATATTTACTATTATTACTTTCCTTTCAGTTTCGATTTTTTCCCAAAGCATTTATTTTCACAATGCAGTGCTTTATGAAAAAGTTATACATTTGTTAATACAAACGTAAAATCAAGCTTATGCAAATAAAGACATCGATTAGACAAGCTTCTTAAACTGAAACACTTGGGAATAATATATATAAATTGATTACTCCCTGTATTAAATATCAAATTATACTCGATGTGCATTAAAATCAAAATAAATCTAAGACAAAATTAATAAAAAAATCTGTGCTTTATCATTATAACTTTATTATAACATGCATTAAGTAAATAGATTACTGTTATATTTACATTACTGTTACATAAATAGTTACCATTAATTTGATATGAACAATAAAGCAAATGTAAGCAGTAAAAAGCAGATACAAACAATAAAGTAATTATTGAATAAGGTGTTTTTTACCCAAAGTGTATGTATGCAGTGTGTAGTACATGTATATCATTTAAAGCATTGGGAGTTCACTTACATTATTTCTAACGTCTGTAGTTCATTGTCTCTTCCTTTATAAAAGCAAACTATTCCTACAACTACTGATGGCTGACAATTTAAAAAAAAAAATTATCTTTTAAAACATATTTACAGACCACGTATTCTTATTTAAATGAATAAAATCTTATTTAAGTTAAAAATCTTATTTATATTTATCTTTTGCTACATAAATAAGGGAATAAATGAAAAAAGTATTATATTGACTAGTGTTTTTGAGCATAGGAAATTCTTAAGTATAATAATAGTCTTTTCAAAATTCGAGTCAGTAGAAATTCATGTAAATATAATTTAAAAGATGAAAAATTATGCAATTTATTAAAATTTCTAAAATTTATACTCCATGTTAACTGCAATACATAACATAAACGGACATACAAACAGGCAGCCATAAGATAATATATTATTAACAATTGAAATATTATCGTGAGATAATTATTTAAATTCTAACTCTATAATAGTAGTTTAATATAGCACATTAATGCTACAATCAAATAATTTTTAAAAAAGTAGTTTAGTTTTAAGGCTGAATGATATAAAGTAGTTACAATGCAATGAAAACTACAATTATTACAATTGGAATTAAACGTCGTTATAAACATGTTTTCTTACTTTTAAAACTAGGCATAGTTTGCTAATTATGTAGAAAGATTATGAATTAATGAGTTTACCAATAACTTATTAATTATATTTAGTCATAATAAATCTTAATTTTTCTTCCAATTTTTTATTTGTTAAGACTTTCATAGTACCAAGGGTGGAAAAAAGGAACATATGCAAGACGAATATATTCATATGTCGCTCCTTATGTATATATATTTATATAGATGCAAATGATAAAGAATATAGCAAGGCACCAATATTTTAAACAGTTGCAGTATACCAAAAAGAAATTATATACATGGGGGTTTAGTCGCCAAGCTGATCGAAGTTTTATGCACCATAACCCCAATGACATGAAATCTTTAAAGCTTAATGCTATTTTAACTTTCTAAACTGATTCATTACAGAAAATTCTGATTTTATATGGTAGATAGTTCCCCCTCCCCCTCCAAAAAAAATAACGCAACAGAAAGAGCTTAATGCATGTAAAGAATAGAAAGTTGATTCCGAAGTTTAAAAGCTTCAGAGGTTCAGTTTCAGTCAAACAAATGGTATTAAAATTTTTAATTAAGTCTTCAAATAATTCTCATGGCTCTTCAGGTGCTTTTCCAATTTACAAACTTATAAAAATCATTGCAGCATATGCAAAGGAAATTATTCCTCACAAAGGTACTATGTCACAAATGTATATATATATATATATATATATATATATAAAAACCCTTCAACTATGCACTTAATTAGAGTATATTCAATTCCATTTTTTGACTACCTTTTTCTATTTATTTTAGAATGCAATAAGGTCCCTGCAGGTTTTTCGTAAACACATGCTAACTGAATCATTTTTATCACATTTTAACCATCAAAGTACATTTTCTGAAGTCGATTAAACAAATAAATTAAAGTAAGCTTCTAATTTGCAAAGGAAGGAATTTTTGCTGATTTATTTACAATTATTCTGTTAAGTTTGTTTGCTTGTTTCTTCCTTTTTTTTTTTTTTTTTTTTTTTTTCCCGGGAGAAGGTAGAAATTAATTTTAAATATGCGCACCTGGAATGTTTATTTCAGAAAATTTGACTGCAAATAGCATTTCTATTATAAATCTGAATTCTTACAATTTTTTAATATAAATTATTTAAGAATTAAACAACAAATTCAAAAATTAAATAACAGATTATTTAAGATTAAGATTAAATAGCAGATTTCTTTTAAAAAAGACAACAGAACAAATATATAAAAATATTTTTTTTTTCTTTTAACCATGTTAAATCAAATTTTTGTAAAAATATCCGTGGAAAACAAAATTGGAGTTGCCCTTTTTTTCACCACAGAAAATTACACAAAGTCAAATGATAAAAAATAGCAAAGGTAGAAAAAATTCACCTTAACAAATTTCTAATTTAATCTTACTTGAATTTTCTCTTGTGTGATCATCTATATCTTCGGCAGGTCGGAAGATCTTCACTCTTGGATGACTGGGCTCTCCTTGTAGATCATCACATGGAGATTTGTTAGGGGGTGAAGGCGAGGGACTTCGTCTCTTTTTTCTCCAAGTTCTAAGCCCAAGAATTGCGTCGATGGAATGAAGTGGTGGTAAGTCTGTCTTTCGGTCATCGGAAACAGCCTTGTGTCCGGCAGGCAAGTGACTACCACGACACCCGTTTGATTCAGGAAAAGTCAAAGTTGCTAAAGGAGATCGATCTACGTTGACTTCAACTTGCATAGTAAAGAGAAAAATATGCTCAGTTATTATTTTATTTTCAACGCCTGTAATCAAATCTTCCGAATGCTTATTGAAAATATTCCTCAAAATGAAAGAAACATTGACTAGGTTTTTTATTCGGCAATCAATCCATTTGTAAGTATTTCATTATTAATCTTCAGTATCAGAATAAGTTGAAGCTAAACAAGAGTGTATATTGCATTTCTTACTCATACAGCTTTATCAAAATTTTTCCTTCAAACAATATAAAAGTCAGTATCAGTTTGTTTCCACAAATAATTGTGGACTTATTTTGTTACCAAATTTACAATAGTTTTCTCTAAAACCAATTATCAGTTTAAATGATTCTTAAATTAATTTTCAAGATTACCAATTTCTCTAGACCGTCTGCTCTAATTTTAGTAAGTTTATAAGTATGCTTCATAAAAGCTTCATTCATTCAATATTTATTAGACTGACAACTTTTATTTCTTTTAAAGCAATATGAAAACTCAGAAATTCAGTTCGTTAAATATGAATGGAAGATAATACATCTGGTTTTCCTTTATTATGTAAATAATAATACAGTCTCATAAGAATCATAGTTACGATATTTTTCTCTTAATGAAAATCTTCGGTTAACAACTGCCTTTATCAATAACTTTATATTAAAATAATTTTATAACTTTATATTAAAATGAAATTGACATGATAAATTATACTTAATTTTCTTTTACCAACGCCTGACCTGTTCAACTAACACCTTTAAGGAGAACAATATAATTAGAAATTTCTCATTCAAATCGCAATTTTTCGCCAAAGCAAACAAAAGACAAAGTCTTAGCTTTCTCCCTGAAAATGAAACTTTGTATTTCTCAAGGGGATGTAATCTACACGGCATGAGAGTTCAGGTAACTTCTATCGATGCAGAAAAATCTTCATTTCATAGATGAAATCACCACCGAATACTTACTACATCGACTCTGCTTTCAAGGTCGCGAGGATAGCAATACCCTCTCTTTCTAGAGAACTAATTGCCCAGGGCCAGGTAAGGGATGTATCCCGTCGGATCGTTTGATCAGGGATGCGGAATCGGGGATGACCGCCTCGGGCAATGAATTCCACTTGACAGACTATCTTCCAGGACTAGGCTTAGCTTCTCGTCTCGATCTGCCGCTCTCCGAGCCTCCCATTGGTCTAAAAGACCACGAGGTGACGGAAAAGGCCAATCACGAAACGGGAAGGCGTTTACCGCGGCCAACCTCGAGTGGTGGTGAGGGTGCACGGGGAGGCATTGTGCCAGTAAATTGGGTGCGGAGATTGAAGGTTGATGATGGTTTTATCGCCCGAGGCCTGGCTCTACTGTTCCACTTCAAACATATTGACGTTATAGGGAAAGAGCGGCTGGCTATGGAGAAAGCGATTGCGTAATAGCATTATGTAGTCATTTAGAGACAGTTTGAGGGGGAGGGAAAGGATGAAGTGGACTGGAGATTATCAATTGCGAGTGGGTAAATTGCTTTCTAGTAGAAATGGTCAAAACAGCAATTATTCCTCCGGATTATTATAATTTTTTTATTATTATTTCTTTCCTCCTGTTGTGTATTATGCTTTAATCCAAGGGACAGTAAGTGCTTTGTTGAAATAACTAGCACCGTTAATAGCAAATATAACTTTTAAATGCAAACATGCTCTTGAGAGTACAGTACACTTGGGGTTTGACTCTGCTTTCATCTTTTAAATAAATGAACATTTATGAAATAAAATGTGTGTAACTTAGTTAATATACATACTCTTATTATTATTATTATTGGAGAAATACTTTTTAATATAGTATTACGTTAGCAATTAAGAGTCTTTTATGCTTAAAATAGCATTAGTTAATATTTTCTCAAAATTCTGATAGGAATAATTTCCAGACACAAGATGTCTCCTAAACAAATTTTTGAGACATGTAAAAATTTAAAAAAATTTTTAATTAGTTTATAAGCATGTGGAATTTTATTTCGCAGACATTCGAATAAAGGAAAATAAAGTATAGTTTTGTATAATTTAACGAAAGTACACATGACAACAATCATTTATATATTAAATGGAAATCTTCTATCACTAACTATAGACTGAAAGATAGAATTACTTTCAATTTCGTGAAGCATTTTAGGAATTAATGAAAAAATAAACTTTGTATCGTATACCAAATTTTATTATACAGTGCTTTTCAGAAAGCACTTATTTTATTGTATTACACGTTAACTTCACTTTTTTTATACTTTTCATGTCCACTTTTGGTTAATACACTATCCAATCATCTATTTCGTTATATAAGTAGGCCAACCTATTAAGGTTGACCGCAGCCCCAGCTTCTCTGTTACGATTATGAAGATCCTTGATATTAGCTCCTTGATCCAGTGTTTAAAGTTTACTCGAATACGGAACGCCCGTAAGAGCTATCTGCCTAAGAACACGGTGCCTTCTTGAAGAGCTTTCTACGGAAAGCTTCTTCAAGTCAGACATAGGAAAAACTACGAAAATATCCGTGCCCAAGCAGCTACCTCATTTGATGGGATTCGAAACCGGGTCGAACTGCCAATGTTCTTCGGTTACATCTAATCAGGCTCGGGTAGACGGTTAGCAATTATCCTTGACAAGTCGCGACAAGCACAGGTGCAAGTATAGGTAAAAGTATGGGGGACACCATTGATATACCATGCGTCAACTGGTAATGGCTTTCCATACTAATTAAGCATAAATAAAATAAATAAATAAATAAATAAAAAGTTTTAAAAAAATTTCAGGCTTTATAAATGTTTACAAAAACATATTGAGAAAATAAGCAACAGAAACTTTCAGAATGATCTAGAGTTTACCAATCATGGTATATCCTGCAATCCCACCGTACACCTCACATCCAGTATTTATTAAAAATATTTATTTAGGACATAAAGAGATTACGATATAGTTTCAATAAAACTTGAAATCCACAAAATAAAGTGTGAACATCTGTTCTGATGTAGAAAAAATAGCAAATAAACATAATAAGTAACAGGGATAATGAGATAAGTATAATAAATATTGGGAACACAGTGTTATAATGAACTAGAATAATAATATTAAAGAGGTGTCCACGGAGTTATTACAATTATAAAAGGTGATAAATTATATTAAATAAATATCATAGTTTATAAATCTCACAATTGGAATCCTTTTGCACATACTCACAATCTGTAAAAGTTCATTAAAATTATGCAGCGTGAGAAACTTTTACTTGAAAAGATATATAGGCTGAAGGAAGAGAGTTGTTCCATAATTTTTTTAAACTCCTGATACTGATGTTTAGCTTTAATCAGAAACCTTTAGAATGGCAGGACATCATTTTGCGTTGATTTTGATATGATTATCCTTAGTTAAGGGGCATGAGAAAGTGTAATGATCAGGAGTTTCCTGTTTCCCAAATATACAAGATATCGGAGTTCACCATATTTCTTGAGAGACAAGAAGTTACACATTCCAGTGCGTATGCGGAGTCGATTTTGTCCTGAAATTTTGCATATCAGTTCTTAACACTGTTGAAAATAGGTGCTTTCAAAGATTCTGCTCAAAATCGTCGATGCGAACCAAAATGGACGAGGTTTTTGCATATTCCAAGACGTAAAAATAACTGCTCAAGTTTACTAAACGGCATACTGCAATCTTATATTGGCTAATCATAGCAGTTCCCCTTACGCTACCCCTTCTCTCTCCAAAAAGAGGAAAAAATGAAAAGAAAAAACAGATAAGCTTGGGGAATGCTCTTTTCTAATGAGAAGAATCAAGAATTAAAACCCATGAGGCAGTTTATTTGATACCTTAATTTATAAAACCTTAATTTATAGAACGTTTTGGCAAAGATACCAAATGTATCGTAAAGGATACAAATGCATTGGTATATAAAAGTTTTTATATCACATAAAACTACAGATGCAAATTTTTCTTAAGGTTGATATTTCGTTAACATTTTAAGTGAAGGTAATATACATTTGGATGTTCTGACTTTTTATTTTTGTACAGGATTTAGAACTACCATTTTCCGCTGATTCCAAAAAGCGTCATTAACGTACCTGCTTTTCTCTTCATTTGAATGACTGTTCATACACATTTAGAACTGATGACTAAATAAGGGAAAAACATTTTTTTTAGTTGTTTGCTTGATTCTTTTAGTATAGTTTTAAAACTACTTAACTTCAAATTAAATTATTTTAAATTAAATTAATTAATCATTTCAAATTAAATTAATTTCAGACAATTAACTTTTATTCAGCGAGTAATTCTAAAACAATTCAATTTGATTTCATCTGGAAGAGAAAAAGCTGGCTCCATATGTAAAATCATTCAGAATATGACCAAAAACTGATTTTTGCTTTATACTAAAATTTGAAAAATCAGATTTTTAAAATAAAATTTAAGTTATTGAAAGTAAATAATTGCATCAAAATTTAAGAGATCCCAATTGATTTTGAGCCGCCTAGATGATATAGTGGTTAGGGGAGGCTACTGCGATACCAAGGACCGGGATCAAATCCCGGAGAAGGCATGGCTATAATTGTCCGTTCTTTTATATGAGGCAACGGTGGCGTATCTACTAGGTGCTTCCATAATAAAGTGTCTTCCACTTCCGGCCTGAGTAGTGGCCAAGTCGGCTAAGTGACACTAATGGAATTAATTTTGATTTCTTAGAGTTTTCCAAGAAAATCAAATTCCAAATAATGGTACATTTTGCCAAATTTTAAATTTCATGAGTTCTGATTCAATGGCTGCGTTCTTTGAATAAACGACAGATGGAGAAATATTAAAGAAATTTAAGACATAAATTGAATTATATTCTTTCCATATTAGTTCCTCTAATGCGCAGCATTTGCCCTGGAGACTAAAGATTAATTAATTTCCAATACATGGAAAATTTGAATTAATTAGACCGATTTCAATATATATACATATATATATATATATATATATATATATATTAGAAGAGAAAAATATGAATACTGTTTAAGCGAACAATTTAAAAATTAATTTAAATTACGTCTGTAAAAATCCTTTGACGCTTCTTAAATTTGAAAGATTAAATTTTACCAAAAAAAAAAAAAAAAAAGTATTTTTGCAACAGGGGAGTGAATAATAACAGGAACTGTAAAATTTGTCTTAACATTAATCTAAAGCATTTTAAGATAGAAATTAGAACGTCATATAATAAGAGAAAAATTAAATACACTTTTTTTTTAAATTTAAAAAATGTTAAAAAAGAAAAAAAAAATTAAACTGCTTAAATTTTTAAAATGCGTATTAGTTTTAATGGAAATATTAAAACAATTTTTTATTAATAGTTTTAAATCGTAATGTAGCTGAAAGCGATATGCACAGAAAATTCTGGGAAACGTTCTCTTTATAAAAATTAAAGAAGAATCCTAATTTTTCGGAGCCTGAACCAAAATTTTAATATTTCGTTAAGTAAATTTTTGATTCTTTTAAGAAGAAAAGGGACTAAGACCACTCCTGTTGAAACACACACATATTATAAAAGAAGCTAAGAAAAAATTTCTTAATTGTAATTCTTTTTATGATATATTTAAAATATTTACTATTGCAAAACCTAAAGTCAACATCCATCATATTTAGCCATTTCGGGAAAAAACATAATGAACGAACTAAATAAATCGTTCATTTAAAATGTTTCAACTAATTTTATATTGAAGTTCTCATTAATATTAAATTTAAATATATTCTTTGAATCAAAATACTGCAACTTCCTTTCAGACATTTGCGTTAAGATTTATAAAGTTACTTATAAAATTTCTAGCGACACCCATAACTTGTTGCTTGATATGCTGATTGATAAAGCTTATGGATTATTAAACTCCAATAATTAAAAAAAAATTAGTAGTTAATCAGCTAATCGGAAGAATGCCTTGTTTCATATTAAAAAGAATATTTTCTGTTATTTATGTCTTTACAGCGTCCTCAATTGTAGTAGCAGTATCAGTCAACTCTTCCATATCTAATATCACATTAGAATAAGAATCTTCACAAGCAGCCGCCCTTCTCCCGTTAGTGATAATCATTTCTATAATCATGTTGCCCTGATGGGTGCAGTAGTT